ATTTGTTAGCTAAGAAAATGGAATCTCACAGAGGCTAGCTAACTTTCCCAAAATTCTATACTCTGAGTCAAACACAGCTCTGCCAAACTCTAGTGTTCATACATTTAAGCATGGTGACTTCCCTCCCTGAGTTACTGTTAGGTTACACTCCCCGCGGGGCCTCCAGAATGTCAGGTCAGGTCTGCTAGTGGGGTGGGTGTCTAGTGTGATTCAGTACTGTGTGAAAGATGCAAAGAATTGCACAGAAGTTAGATTAGAAAATATAGTTTATTTAGAAAGTGAATTAGCAAGCGAAAGAGAGAGAAATAAAGAGAAAGGAGATTCACCTCCCCAAGGTGGGGAAGGGAGCCAAAGCCAGAGTCTAGTAAGTCTAGACCAGAGTCTAGTAAGGCAATGGCGACTAGCTGCTCGTGTTTGAATCCTTTTAATCCTTCCCTTTGATGGGGGAATGTCGTTAAGGTGATTTCGTGGTGGTCTTCTCCATGTCATCACAAAGGGGCAGGTACTGACGTCAGGTGAAGGACAGCAGGCAGATGGGTGGGTTAATCACATGATTGCTGCAATGGTGGTGGGGTCTATGTCACATAGGTCACAATGGGCTGATTAGGTTAACTTAGGTCTTATGGGTGGAGGCAAATACTTGAAATAGAAAAGCTGGCCAGGCTCGGTGGCTCACCCTGTAATCCCAGTGGTTTGGGAGGCCGAGGTGAGTGGATTGCCTGAGCCGGTGGGTTCGAGACCCGCCCAGGCAACTTGGTGACACCTCATCTCTACAATAAATCAAAAATTAGCTGGGTGTGGTAGTGTGAACCTGTAGCTCTGGCCACATGGAAGGCTGAGGCGGAAGGATCGCTGGAACCCAGCAAGTCGAGGCTGCGGTGGCCGAGAGCGTGCCACTGCACTCCAGTCTGGGTGACAGAGTAAGGCTCCAACTCAAAAAAAAAAAGAAAAGCTAATTAATACAAAACAAGCTGGGGATGGGGGTTGTAAAACAATTATCAATAGCTCCCTCTGAGAAACCTGTTCTGTCCTTGGCTGGTGATTAGAGGGTAAATTGCTAGAAAAGCAGTTTAAATAAAAGCAGTTAAAGATTAAGTGAACCGCTAGAAAAACGTAAGATTTAGGCAATGTTAAAACGGCTGTTCATTGGGTATATTAAATCCATGTTATGTCCTTTCGGTTACCCAAGGCATTTCATCTGTTTAAATGCTCATCCTTACATTGCAGTTAATTATGTAAATTTTTAACCCAGTTGCTTAAGGGCACAGTTTTGTTCTTTTATTTTTAACAAATACTATATGTAAGTAGTTGACAAAATCAACTAGGCATATATAGGTACTCACTCCTGATTCCCACTCTCCTGTGGTTCCATGTCTCTTGTGTGTCTGTACCTGGCCCACAGTGGGTAATCAACACGTTAGCAGCCAACCATCCAACCACCTTGAGTAATTATGATGTGTCAGGCACTGTGCCCGATGGCATCATATTTGCTGTCGTGAATTATTCCTCCGCTTCCAGTCCCTAACCCTGTTCTTCCCAGACATTTTGCCTCTCCTTCTTAAGCCACAGTCAGGCATCACCCTGGTGCTGAGACTCTGGTGAACTAAGGAAAACTTGTCCACTCTTTTCTGATCACCATGCTGGGGTGCATTAAGTCAGTTGGCCTTAAGTTTGGCCGCATTTAGTAGAGACCCAAAACGGTGGCTTAGACCAGGCAGAGGTTATGTCTGTCACACACACCTGGTCCAGAGAAAAGTAGTCCAGGGCCAGCATGGCATCTCAGCCCCACAAAGTCTTCAGGAGCCTAGACTCCTGCAGCTCCCTGCTCGGTCATTCAAAAGGTGAGGCCTTCACCCTCCTGGTCTAAGATGGCACCAGAATGCTGGCAGCTCCATCTACGTGTCAGGCATCAGAAGGGAGGAGGGGATAAAAAAGGAAGAGGTGAGAATGCATGGCAGAGCCCTGAGAGCTGCCATGTGACACATATTTCATTGGTCAGGATGTAGGTGCATGGCCATGCATTGTTGGGAGAAGCTGGGAAGGAGAGTATTTATTCTGGATAACCACACCACTCCCTGAGAAATGGGATTTTTTATTCCTGGGGAAGAAAGGAAGATTCGATATTGGGAACAACTAGCAGCCAGGACCAAGAGGGTGATCTGTGCTGGCATGTGTGTATGTGTGTAAGCATGTGTGTTTCGTGTGTCTTGATGAGACAGGTCTTGTCAGCACTGTGCTCTCAGATGGACCTGGTACCAGCTTTCTCTGCAGGGCCCCATGGAGCTCCCTAAACCTGGGCCTCTCTCCTCTTAGATTTACTCAGTGGCTGCTTCTCAGATCCATGTTTTCAAGGACCTGCAATTTGTTTTCAGCCTCCACTGAAGCATATTATCAGTGGTAGTGGGACAATAGGCTTGTAAAACTGTCCATTTAGATATTAGAGGGTGGCCATTATGTGAGCATGACTATGACCAGAGTTAATCTGTTAATAAATTCTCTTTGGAAGGAGGATGTCATCAACACATGAGTCGTACAAAAGCATGCAACTCAATCTTGGGCTGCGGGTAGAAAAACCCACAAATGCCAGGCATCCTGTAGAGAAAGCCTGTGGGAGGCAGGGGGCCGGATGCTTGATTCAGAGTTGGCTCCAGGTAGTGTTGTCCAAGCGTCTCAAGTCCTGCTCAGGAATTAGAATAATTTGTACTCCCCTGACCCTGTGCAGGACATGTATACAGTGGGTAGGGGCTTCCTGGTTTCATCTCATTGACTTTTCGAACCAGGTGGTGGTGTTAACTCCATTTTACGGACAGGACGTTAAGTAGCTAGTAAGGGCAAGCCAGCCACTTCATTACCACATCTCCCAACTTTGCGCGGGCTTCATGGAATTGTATTGGGACTGAGCACTATTTAATTTTGTTCTATAAACATTTGGTATATTACTCAGGTAACAAGTAGTTAATAGAGGAACTTTTACTTTTTTAAGAGAAAAAAACAAAACAAGCACAATAACATTCCAAGTGCTTTCTCCCAAATCATTAGTATTTGCTATATTTGGAGTTGACATGGGGGTACAATTTCATAGCTTCATCCTAGAGCAGGGTCTTTGGTTGCAAGTGCCATGTTTCCAGAAGCTGCCCTTGATTGGAAATTGGGGTGGTCTGTCACTTGGGCTTTTCCTTAAAGCCTGAGAAGCGGGTGGGTGACATCTACTCCCACCGTTCTGGGTCAACCAGCCCTTGGGTTTGGATCCCGGCTCTGCCACAAACCTGCTTGACTTTGGGCAAGTTGACCCATGTTCCCACGCCTCTTTTTTTTTTCTCTTCTGTAAAATTCAGGCTTAAAAAATATGACTTTGAGCAAATATTATGAGTAATATATGAACAGACTGCTTGTCTTATTATATTGCCAGAAAATCAATTCTGCTAATATTGCCACCTATGGACAGAAGATGTGTTACCTGTTTTCATTAAGACTCAGATGAGGAAAGACACGAAAAGCAGAGATTAACTTTCTTGCCATTTTCAGAACTTCATCCTAATATTTACTGACATTATATTCTTATTCACACATGCTGAGCACGGATTATTGGCCACAGGCACGCATACATTTCACTTTATTACCTTTTGCCTCATGTATCTCATTAAAACTTTGCTGCTTAATCAAGGATCTGCATATTATCAATTTTAGAATTCATGGTTCTGGGACTTTGAAAGTTTCTAATGTTCTGGGAGAACGTGTTATGCTCTTTTCTGCCACCGTGCCTTTGTAACCACTGGTTTTTTGACCACCTATGACAACCACTTTCTACTGTTACTAACTCCTACTCAGTCTTCAACACCCACCTCATCTGACACTTCTTCCAGGGAGCCCCCTTTGTGCTTCGGTGGTATCTTTTTTTGTTGTTGTTGTTTTGAGGTAGGATCTCACCGTCACCCAGGTTGGAGTACAATGGCACGATCACTACTCACCACAGCCTCGACCTCCTGAGCTCAGGTGGCCCTTCCTTCTCAGCTTCCCTAGTAGCTGAGACTACAAGCACACACCACCACACCCAGTTTATTCTTTTATTTTTGTAGAGACAGGCTCTCACTATGTTGCGCAGGTTGGTCTCAAATTCCTGGGCTCAAGTAATCCTCCTGCCCCGGCCTCCCAAAGTACTGGGACTACAGGCCTGAGCCACTGTGCCTGGTCCTCTGGTGGTATCTTATATTTGCTTTTCTTGCAAAGCCCTTTCTTCCAGTATTAGAATGGCCTGTTTGCTTGTGTGTCTTCCCTATTGAATTGTGAGCCACTAAGGTGGAGAGCGTTTGTTTTTCGCCATTGCATTCTTGGTGCCTAGCATTGTGTGTGACATAATATTAGGCGGTTGATGAGTGCTGCTGTGATTCAAGCTCCCAGTGGGAGAGAAAGAAAGTCATAAAGCCCAGAGTGTCAGCAGTCTGTAGCGAGAGAGTGATGGAGAGGACAAGTGAGCAACATAATCCCGAATAACAGTGACGGAGTGCATTTCTCAACACCTTTAAGCTCTTTGCAGGTGTTATCTCATTTGAGTCTCATAAAATTCTGGAGGTAGATATATGATGGATGGCGGCGGAGTTTTTGCAGTTCCATGGTACACCTAAAGTTATGCAGTGAGCAAATGACTGAACTCAAACCAGACCTTAAAAGACTGTTCTCTCTCCCTCGAAGCACACGACAAAGGCTTCATCATCCCCACCACGTGCACCTGAGCACACTCTGACGGGACACCTTTGGTGGTTTTATTGACCAGGCAATAATCCTCTTCCCCAGGGGGGCGTATTTCATTAATACCTGTCTAGATCATGAATTGTCTTTGACTTTGAGGAGACAGTAGCCAGGGCAGAAAGCAAAGCTCATCTTCCTCCCCATCTGATAGTGTGGCTGGTAATGTGGAAGATGGGTGCTTCTGAGATACCAGCCCCTTCTGATGTGTAGTTCCTTCCGTTTCCAGGCCCAGGAAGCACGTCCAGGGAAGAAAAATGCACTGGGGACCCCTGTGTCGATTCCTGTGGCTTTGCCCCTGTCTGGCCTACCTTCAAGCCGTGCCCATCCATAGAGTCCGGGATGACTCCAGAGCCCTCATCAAGACAATTGTCACCAGGATCAATGACATCTCACACACGGTAAGGGGACAAAGCAAACTCCGGTCCCTAGTGGAACTGGAACCAGATAGTCCAAGAAGCATTTGCTGAGCATCTTCTGAATGCCAGGCACCTATTGGAAACCGACAAGGGCTTGAAAGCATAGGGCCCCCATTATTTCTGGTTGTTTCTTTTGGCTCCTTTGCTGCTGGGAAGGAATGGTTCTAATTCTAAACCACCTCAAGAACATTTAACTTTGCCACGTGTTTCCATTTTAAAAAATCATAGGATCCTCTGATATCGGGAGGCCACATGCGTTTATTTTCACTCTGCCATGGGGATAGCCGGTCTCTGAGGCTAGCTGGGGCACGTGTGGACACAACCGCTGCCTCTTCTCTGTCTCCCCACTGTCCTTGCCTCCCTTCCTCACCTTCCTCTCTGAGTTCACTTCCTGAATCCTAGGGCCTAGGACTCTAAAGGTCCTTGTGCCCCATTGGCAAGTGCCCAGACCCCCTCTGCGCTTCTGTTCATCCCTAGATGTGCTTGTCATGAGGGTTCATGTCATTCTAGCTGAACTCTGGCCTGTGAAGCTTTTGCCCACCATGTCAGCCCCACCTCTCAAGGCCACCCAGAGGTGTGTCTATACCCTCTTTTGTAGCCAACACTGCACAAACTTGCAAACGGCTGTCAGCACACACCCCTGTCTTTCTTCTGGGGTCCATAAGGCCTCGACCTTCAGCCATTTCCCAGATGAGTCCTGTATGTGGGACTAGGAAGACTGCGGTGAAGCTTCACACTTCTGCTCTTTGTCTGTGAGATCTTAAGCAAATTCCTAAATGTCCTTAAGCCTTGGTTTCATCGTCTAGATAACGAGACTGTCATAGAGTCTTCACAAGTTTGTTATGAGACCAAATTAGATAAGGCAAGTGAACCCCCCCCATTGCATGGAGACTTCTGCATCTCCTGGCCATTGCAGGTGTCCAGGAAAAGGTTAGGTGCCCAGGAGCAGGGACAGCTTAGCACTAGAGAGTCTCAGGCATTTCATAGAGAAAAACCCTGAAGTCTCCTTTCAAAATTGTCATTCAACAAGGTTGCACATGATCGATCCAGAGTGTCCCAGCTTAGGTGGTACGATACACAGTATCATGGTAGCAAAGGGGTGGTGACCACTGAGGTGGCCAGTCTCAGTGCTGTGGGCAGTCAGATGGGGAGAGACCTTCCCATGCAGGGGCAGAGGAGGAAGGGACCCTTGCTGAGGGTACAACCTTGATCCCTAAGGAGGAGGGACTGCCTGGAGAGCCTGCTTGAGAGGGAGGAGTCAGCTGAGGGTGGAAGAAACCGGGGATGGCTGGGGGTGGTGGTGCTCGGGCAGGACCTCAGGTGTCTGGGGAAGATAAATAGGAAGCCACAGTTGGTTCTTCAGCAGAGGCCATTTGGAGAAAGGAAAGGCCTGGGAAAGTTGGTCTGGAAGTGTAGAATAGAGTGGTTGGGAAGGGTGGAAGTCCAGGAGGCCAGGGAGAAACTTGACTATCACCTGGGCACAGGATATAAAAGCCTGGACCAAGGGGAAGGTAGAGGGCTTTCAAAGTGACTTCCCTGTCCCGTGCTAAGCACTCGTTCTCTCGCTTCTTCCTGCACAGCAGTCAGTCTCCTCCTTACAGAGGATCGCTGGTTTGGACTTCATTCCTGGGCTCCAGCCTGTACTGAGTTTATCCAAGATGGACGAGACATTGGCTGTCTACCAGCAGATTCTCACCCGTCTGCCTCCCAGAAACGTGGTCCAAATACTTAATGACCTGGAGAACCTCCGGGACCTTCTCTACCTACTGGCTGTCTCCAAGGGCTGCCCCTTCCCTCATTCCAGTGGCCTGAAGACCTTGGAGAGCCTGGATGGTGTCCTGGAAGCCTCACGCTACTCCATGGAGGTGGTGACCCTGAGCAGGCTGCAGGCATCCCTGCAGGACATGTTGCAGCAGCTGGACCTCGGCCCCAGGTGCTGAGGCCTTGAAGACCACTCTACTCCCAAGAACCATGTTGAGGGAAGAAACCTTGACTTCCAGGTGTCTACAGGAGAAGAGAACCTTGTGTGGATACCCCTTATCCAGGACTCTGTCCGTTTCTCTCACTCTTCTAAGCAATCCTTCCAAAGGCATAAGATCATAAGTTCCATGTTGCTTGACACCAAAGATACATAGACACAATCCCATTCTCACCAGGAGTAGGGGGCCCATCCAGCAAAGAGTGGACTATATCTGGGATTCTTGCCAAGTGCTTCGGCCACCAAGAATTGTCCCCTCCCCATTCCATCTCCTCATTGCATGCTCCAATATGACCTAGGGCGACTTCAGAGAGGGCTGCCTGGAGCCTTTGGATGATCAGAACAAGGTTCCCTCTGAGACTTCTGCAGATCACCATGAAGGCCACATCCACACACAGCTGGAAACTCCCAAGCAACACAAGTTGGAAGCATTGATGTCTTTATTATGCATCTTATTCTGGATGGATTCGAAGCAAAGCATCAACTTATCCAGGCTCTTTGGGTTCACCAGGGCTGGGGTTATCCTGGAGTGCTGTTTCCAATCCCATCAGTGAATCTGGCTGAGGCAAACCCATTCTGAGTGACTTGAGGCTTGGGATCATCTGAGCAAGACCCAGTAGAGGTGGTGCTCCGTTCTTCCATAACTGGTTTTGTTTCTACTGTGACTGACTTTGAGTTACAATGTTTGCGATGGCATTGTCCTGAGAACTCTCCAAGGGCTAGGTTGTATTAAAAAGAAGATTGGCTGGGCTTGGTGGCTCAGCCTGTAATCCCAGCACTTTGGGAGGCTGAGGTGAGTGGATTGCCTGGGCCTGTGGGTTCAGATCAGCCTGGGCAACTTGGCAAGACCTCGACTCTACAGTAAATCAAAAATTAGCCGGGTGTGGTAGTATACGCGTGTAGTTTCAGCTACTTGGAAGGCTGAGGCAGAAGGATCACTGGAGCCCAGCAGGTCCACACTGGGGTGGCCGTGAGCATGCCACTGCATTCCAGCCTGGGCCACAGAGTGAGACTCTGACTCAAAAATAAATAAATAAATAAATAAAGGACCGATTTTGTCAAGTGCAATTTGCAGCTGTGTGTACCCAGGGGTGGGGAATGTTTTGGCAGGAGGGAGAAGGATCTAAAATGTGTTTCCCAAATAACTTTTGTGTGGTGAGTTCTTTGGAAGGGGTGAGGTCATTTTCTCATCTTCTGCAACCCCTTAAGATGTTTTCCATGAAAATAGCAAAGGCTAAATAGCCCTTCTGGGGGATGTGAGGTCTGAGCAGGTGCCATGAATGGAAGTCCTGAAGCTGGAGGCTGTTTGTTGGGGCAGGAGCTCTGGCCTTCTCCGACTGTGGGAGGGTGGTCTTTCCTATCAGAGAGTGAGGGTCGTGCACTCGAGACAGCAGATCTCAGAGTGGGGGTCCTTGGTATCCCACTCTGGGTTTGTTACCGGCAGTGTCCCTATTTGGGGTCTGTATGCCAAAGGAGAGTTCTCGTCTGATTGACTCGCCAAAGCAAGGCTATGTTTCTCACCTGTTCTGGGAGGATTTCTATCCCCAGTGGGAAAGTGAAATCCTTTAGCAAGCACACTGAGTGGATGCCAGGACCCCAGGCCAGGCCATCAGGATTGCCCTATCTGCTGGAGGTCGCATTCAGTAGGATGGACGAGGAGACTTTGGCTTTTCCACCATCCTACTTGATATCACCATCACACTGTGGGTGGGGGATCAGCCCGAGAAAACTTGAATCAAATCAATAAACTTGAAGACTGAGCACCGGCTTCGTGCTCAGCCCCGCCTGGTGTTATGGACTCCCCAAATCAACATCCAGATCCAGTCCTGCCCTCCGGAACCTTACGTTCCAAATGGTCAAACCCCACTCACCTGTGTGCCATGGCCGAACACACCGTGCAGTCAGCAGCAGGTGGGAATGGTATGAGCTGAGGGTGGCCATGCCCAGGGGCCTACAGGTCACCTAGCTTGCACTTCATAGCATTTTTACTTTTCAGGGCACGTTAGGCTCTATCACTGTGTAGCTATATTCCCTTTAAAGCAGGATAACTGAGACTTGAAAAATAAGGGCCGGGTGCAGTGGCTCACGCCTGTAATCCCAGCACTTTGGGAGGCGGAAGCAGGATTTCCTGAGCCCAGGGGTTCCAGACCAACCTGGGCAACATGGTGAGACCTCGTCTCTATAGCAAATAAAAAAATTAGCCAGACGTGGTGGCACATACCTGTAGTTCCAGCTACTTGGGAAGCTGAGGCAGAAGAATTGCTTGAGTCCAGGAGGTCGAGGTTGTGGTGAGCTGTGATTGTGCCACTGCACTCCAGCCTGGGTGACAGAGTGAGACTCTGACTCAAATAAATAATAAGAAAAGACCTAAGACCATCACAGCCAACAAGTGGCAGGATCAGGCCTGGAGCCCAGGTCCTCTGCCCCCCACAGTGTCCCTTGAGCCAGGCAATGCTCTCTAGGGATGGAGTGGTGTGGGGGAGATCAGGGTGCTTTCTGGAAAGAAAGAGTTTTGAGGCAGGTTTTGAAGGAGGTGAGGGATGTGACTTGCCCGCAGGGAAGAGACTGTTTTGATGGAAGCTTTGCTGTGTGGAGACAGGGAGGAGAAGGCGTGAGCAGTGAGGAAAAGGCAGAGAAGGGAGAGCGGGGAGGGGAAGAGACATGCTGAAGGTACTGCAAGGGATCTTGATATTAAAAACGGTAAGAGCCACAAGGTAAGAAGCGCCTGCCATGGTCAGGTGGACCGGCTCTGTAAAACATGACTCAGATCATCACAGCCACCCAATTGGGTAGAGATGTCTCAAGCCTTTTGCTCAGAGAACTTGGCACCATGACTCGTTGCCAGAGTGTGACACTTCCCATGTGCACGTGGTTGTCTTTTTTTGTTACTTATAAAATTTTTGTTTTGTTCTTTTAAAAATCTAAATAAATTAACTTTGCCCCCTGGTCTTTGTTTCCTGTCGCCTTTTGTGGAGGGGCTTCGGGAGAGCTGTTTGTGTGTGACAGGGCAAGGCCTGGCTGGCCTCCATCCATCGCTGGGGTCAGCTCCGCCCAGGCTTGGCCACAGCCAGCCGCCAGTTATTCAGGCGAAAGGATTACCCCGAAGCACAGAGCTGGCAGATGAGCACATTGTGCACCAGACTCAGTGAAGTGCTGCAAATTAGCTTTGAGGAACACCAAATTATTTAGCCGCCTCCCCAAAAGCACACACAAAAATAACCCACGCAAACAATCAAACAAAATAAGCATGCTGGCCCGGCCTGGTGGCTCAGCCTGTAATCCCGCGCTTTGGGAGGCTGAGGTGAGTGAATTGCTTGAGCCCGCGGG